GGGGAGTTGGTGAGGGAGGACCGTGCCCAGTACCATCCACCTTCAGAAATGTTTCATCATCCCTGACACTGTACCTCTGAAATAGCATCTCTTCATTCTCTCTTCTAGTCTCTGGCCATCACCAACTTTATCCATGAACTTGATTTTTTTGAAGTAGTCTGTTTTTTTGTGCCCGTCTTTCATTAAGCTTAATGTAATTAAGGTTAATCAGTGCTATAATGTATCAGAATGTCCATTTTATGGGAAATAAAATTCACTTGTATGTACTTTGGACATTCATACCAAAGTTTCATGATATACCCTCAAAATTTGTGGACTAGCAACCAAGCTGTCTTTTGTATACAGTGCCACCCAGTGGTTGGTAAGGAGAAGTCTTGGCCGTATCTTAACTTTGAACCAGTGTTTCTTGGTTTTATGTTTGTGCTCACAGGTGGACAGCGATCTCATGTGATCTTTCTCACGTATTTGCAGACATCATGGTCCATTCTCGTTCTTTTGAGTATCAGTCTTGGCTAGGCGTGGTGTCACGAACTAGCACTTGGGAGGTAGAGGCAGCAGGATCAGGAGTTTGAGATCAAAGCAAACCTGGGCTAGGTGAGTCCTAGCCTAACAACAACAACAACAACAACAACAAATAACACCTCTCCTGGAGAAGAACAATTTACAACTGAAGGATGCAGTCCCAACCCTTTTTTTCATCACTGTTGATATATAAGGGTCCCTTATTGGCTAGAGTGCAGAATTACCATGGAATAGACCACCCTCCTTACTTGGTGAATTGTCTAGCCCCCTGGCACATCATGATCCTTCCTGTCCAGTAACAACCTTGGGGCAAGACTTTGGCCTTTAGTTTCTCATCTTTGTTGCTTCTGTAGTGAGCAAGGAAGCTGTGCACAAGCCCAGTGAATGCCTGAGCATTCAGCTTCTAGTATCTAGGGGAGTGGGTATTTCCTCCAATTGTTTCCCAGGGTATCCTACTATGTTACTACTGCTATAAGCCATACAAGTACCATGGTAAGGCTACTTGCACAGGCTAATAATTTCATAGCCTATTCTACCAGCCAGTGGGAGAAAAGATGCATTCCAGGATTTAGGGACCATAGGCAACTAAGACTAATCATTCCTGGCCAGGATACTTGGTGGTCAGTTATAGATTAACTCAGGCTGTTGCTGCCTCACACAGAGCTTCTCTGGACCTTGACACACTTGAGCATGTCTGTCCCTCATTTCTACTGTACTGTCTGCAGAACCTAGTTGAGGCCATTGCCACGCTGTTTGGGGCTACTGGCTGAGCTCTCTCTACAATTCTGTTAACCTGTGAAGAACAGAGACAGTATCTATTCTCCCCTACATCTGAGTGCCTCAAGACAGTGTTAATAGCATCCATTTGTCAAACCTTCACACAATTCGATCCTTAAAGGGTTAATGTTTGTCTCCTACCAGGTCTTAGGCCTCACTGATGATGGTGTCCTTCAGGTTTTGGATGTTGATCATCCAAAGTTTCAGGTAGTGCTAGAAGGTGTTGCTCTCACTCCTTGGCTTTGGAGAACACAGGCCAGCATGAACCCAGGCTCATGCTTTCATTAAACTTAGGATGCACTTAGGATGAGTATTTAACCCAGAGCCTGGCCTTTCGTTTGGGCACTGAACACAGTTTTACATCCGGCCCCCTTCTCCAGCTCTATACTGCACTGCCTCAGACCTGGTTCAGATTCCAGGGCCATCTGAGCTCTCCTGGCTCTAGACTTTGAAACAATTTTCTATATGGCTAATAGTGTTACTATGCTATAAGCCTCATTGGTGCCATAGTAGAAGAGAGACATCAGGGAAGAAAGTGTCCTGGATTCCTGGGTCCGTATTTTCGTTCCATGGCTATACCATGCATTTGAGCACAGCTGAATGATTCCAAAATGAAAACAAACACAAGGGCAGGATCTGGGGAGATAGTTGAGTGGGTAAAGCACTTGCTGAGCAAGCATAGGGACCAACGTTTAGATTTCTGGGATCTACATAAAGCTGGGTGGGCCAGCCCTCAAGGAGACAGAAAAGGGAATCCCTGTAGTAAACTAGCTAGCCAGATTAGTAGAAATGGCAAACTTGAGGTTTAAAGAAAATAACCTGCTTCATTGTATTATTAAGTGAAAATCAATGAAGGGAGGACTAGATGTTAACCTCTGGCTTTCACATGAATAACACACATACAGAGAGAGGAGGAGGAGGAGGAGGAGGAGGAGGAGGAGGAGAAATAATAAGTACAGACATTGACCATGGCATCATGATCCCTTTAGCCCCTGACCTGGAATCTGTAGAATGTGCTGTAGATGGCATAGCCCCTCTGCTATTGCAAACCCTCCTCTATGATACCAAGGACTTCAGGTTTACTTTCTTGTCAATGTCTCACCTGCTGAACAGTACGTTGTTAGGCAAATAAGGTCCTTCAGGGTTCCAAAACACCAAAATATACTTAATGTTGAAAATGTAGTAGCTTCAGATGTTTTCAGATCAATGGAGTAGGAGCCAGATGTGTTTCCTCCCCAGACGACAGTCAGTAGCTCTGGAACTTCTAACTTGTTTTAACAATTGTGGTACAATATTAAAAAAAAAAAAAGCAAAACAAAACTTTATTTTTTTGTAACTAGGTATTTCGGGCCAAGAAAACCAGCATTTTTTTTTTTTTAACCGTACCTTGGCAGTTGGCAGAATGAATGACCAGGATGACCCCGCCCTGCAGAGCACATGATCTGCCACAGCTGTGCATGTTTTTTAGCATGACTGTGCCAGGACAGAGGTCCAAGCCACTGGGTGGAGCAATGTACCCCTGGGAGAAGGCTCATGACATTTCCCCTATGATTTCAGAAAAGAAAAAAAGTTCCTCTTTTTTTTTTCCTTGTGAGTTGTTTCTGCACAATGTCAACAGAAAGTGGCCTTGTGTTTATTCAGATTCATGCATAAATATGGAAAAAATCAGCCACTTTACTACAGTGGGGATAAATGCACACTGCATTTAACCTTAGAGTGAAGGTCAATAAGGCACACATTGCTAGCTAGTTCTTTTCTTAACCTCCACTTTATACTTTTCCCAACAAGCCTAAGTTTATTTGACATTGTAGCAAATACAGCTAAATGATTACTCCCCAGCCCCTCTCAGAGAGGTAGCTCAGTGAGACCAGAAATGCTGTGCACAATCCGAATAGGATGCTCTCCCTTCACCTTGGCTTACTTCTTGTTTCCTTTGATTGGAATGCCATCTGATGGCTGGAGTACCAATAGTCATCCTGGAACTTCTGATGACCTTGAGGATGAAAACTCCAGACCTGTGTAATGGAGCCATAAGAGAGAGAAGGCTGGATAACCCAGGACACTCAATTTCCACCTACTTCTGTGAAAGAAGTATCGGTCATAAGAAAGACTTCCACTTAAACATTTTGTAAAGGATTTTCAGTATATGAAATCTATTAATCATATCCATCCAAAGCATAGAACAAAGACAGGGGAAATAGTAATAACGACCATGAGTAGAAAAAACAATAACAAAACACTGGCATAGTAGTGAAGAATGCTATATACTGGTTGTGGTAGCACATGCCTTCAATCCAGCACTTTGCAGGTAGAGTCAGGGAGATCTCTGAGTTCTAGGTCAGCTTGGTCTACAGAGTTCCAGGTTAGCCAAAGAAACCCAGTCTTGAAAAACCAAACAGACAAGCAAACAGACAGACAAACAAAAAACACCCCAAACCCCCAAAATCAACAAAAACTATACAACAGTAAAGAGATGAAGCACTCAGGAGTCCCAGTATGCTTAATAATTAATATATGCTGATGTAAACATTGAAAACCTGTTCTTGGGGGCTGGAGAGATGGCTCAGTGGTTAAGAGCACTGATTGCACTTCCAGAGGTCCTGAGTTCAAATCCCAGCAATCACATGATGGCTCACAACCATCTGTAATGAGATCTGACGCCCTCTTCTGGTGTGTCTGAAGACAGCTATAGTGTATTCATATATAATAAATAAATAAATTTAAAAAAAGAAAACCTGTTCTTGAAATACTTTCACATTTGTAAGTATAGAAAGGATTGTATGCAGTATGTGGCACTTTGGGGTTAGTACTTAAACTATATTGTTCGAACTTTTCCAACTACACCAAGGTTTCATGTCTTACCATATAATTTGAAATTTTAAAGAAATCAGATCTGCCACTTAAAGCTTAGGAAACTTTAAAGTATCATTGACCCCAAGTATTTTATTTCTAAAAAGCTTAGTGGTCAAAATCTTGTAAAACAGAAAACAAGAGAATGGAACTATTTTAAACAATAAAAACGATTATCAATTAAATGATTTTTTTTTTCAGTTTAATTGACAGTGATATTGAAAGACTAGTGGGTCGAAAATCATCTGTGGAGCAGAATAACAATGGATCCCATATTTACAGCCTTTGAGAAAAGTTGCCCTGGCTGTCCTTAGCTTTTTAGAGGGTGGTTTGTTCTCGCAGGAAATTACTAGGGAGCTTGGTTGAATGTCCACACCCTGAAAAGGGCCTCAGGGTCAAGGCAGTTTGCATATCTTCCATTCTCATTCATTTCATAGGCTTCGTGGACTCTGTCAGTTTATGCAGGCCCTGAGGGAACTTTCAGATCAGGCTAGTGAATGAGTGACAAAAGGGCTGACTTCTAACCAAACCCCCAAACAGTGGAAAAAGCAGTCTGGCAGGACCCAGCTAGAGTAGATTGCTTGGCCAAGACCAAGGGGAGAAGCTCGTGGGGCGGAGCCTGACAAGGGGAGGGACCAGGGGGAGGAACCCTTGGTGCCCGGCCAGGTGAGGTCCCAGAGCGATGGGGCGGAGTCTCGTAAGGAGGCGGGACCCTAGGGGCGAAGCCAGGAAACCGCGGCTGAGGGGCGGGGTCAAGTGGTGAAAGGCTCGATGAGGAGGAGGAGCCTGAGGTTGGGAGCCCCAAAGGAAGGCAGTTGTGGGGTGGAGCCAAGGGGAGGGGCGGAACTACTGGATGAGGTCAGGACCGGAGGAACCCGGACGAGGCGGAGTGCGGTAGGCTACAGACGCCTGGGGGGCGGAGCCATTGGGACCTGAGTCCGTGAGGGCGGCACAGGGTCGAGTACAGGGTTTAGTTCTGCACGGAACACGCTAGGGACTGGCTCGGAAGGCAGGGGGCGGGGTGGAGGCGTGGCCCTGGTGCGGAGACTCCGCACTCTGTCTGCGCAGGCTCAGTGTGCGTGACGCTGGGCAGTCTGTTACGCTGGGCGGCTAACATGGCTGCCTCCAGGTGGTTGCGCGCTGTTCTACTGTTTCTGTGTGCCTCGGACCTTCTGCTCCTCTCTCCTCCTGAAGCCTACGCGGCGGATACTCCCGGCGAGGCCACCCCGCCTCCACGGAAAAAGAAAGACATCCGCGATTACAACGATGCCGACATGGCGCGACTTCTGGAGCAATGGGAGGTCTGTGTCGCCCGCATACTCCTGAGCATCTCCCCATACAGATCCCTTTTCTCTAACCCTTAGCCTCTCGGACTTTTGTCCCCTGAATCCCTCTTCCCTGCCCTTTCAGGATCGTTGTTGAAATGTCTCCCAGTACCCGTTGGTCTCCCGCGTCTCCCTTCATTTCACCATGGCTCAGGCCTCTTGCCCAGTGTCCTCTACAACCATGGCTTCCCCACAGCCATGAGTTCACTCCAGTCAGGACTTGGACTCTTCACCAGTCAAGCCCTACTTTCCTTGCTGTCTCACGGTGGTCTCTACATTGATCTTGGTGATCAGTGAGCCGTAAACAGGGAGCGAGCGCTCCTAAAGAGCGTTCTCTTCTTCCCCTTCTTGTTCTGGAGTTAATGGATTGTAAAAGTGGTCTCTCAACTTTTTTTTTTTTTTAGCTTTGATAGAGATCCTTCCAAATATAGAGGGTTTCCGACTTCTTTTGATGTATGTTCCTGCTGGGACTTTTGTGATTTTGTGAGTGGCTTTATTTTACTGGTAGAGGGAGCTAAGGCCCTCAGATGGAACTCAGGTTTTTCATTGACGGGAAGGTAGTGAACTTGTTTTGTGAGAGGCCGAATTCTGATCTGTTACTTGATTGCATTTGGGGTGTGCAAAAGGTTCCAAAGGGGCAATTCCTGATCAAAAGTACACTGCAGCCCTTGATTGTAGTGTCGTATTTTATTTACACAGTTGATGGAAAGATATCACACACAGCTGTAACATTGGGGAGGTTGTCTCTTTCTGAAAGAGAACTTTTGGGGTTTGTTTCCAGTGCTGTTTTAACTTGTGGCTAACTGTATATTGTTGGAAGTGGGCATAAGTTTAAAATATACACCTGCTATATTTGACTTGAAAAGAGGGGACTTCTGTTTTCATCTTATCTGTACACAACAGAAGAACTGGAGTAGTGAGTGGGGCCATGGTAGTGCATGGTTGTAATTCCAGCACTTAAGAGACTAGTGGAGGAGGCTAGCCTTAGTTAAACCTGGGCTACATAGTAAATTTCAAACTAGTTTGTGAGACTCTGTCCTCCAAAAAAGAAAAAGAAAATTTAGAGTAGATTTGAGTGGGTATGACTGTATTCCCCATTCTCCTCTCAATTCCAAACTGTCTTTTTTGGACTCTAGTAAATAATGCCTTTTAATCTGCCAAAGTGAGAACCTTACCTTGTGAGAAGCCTAGCCATGGACGATGCTCAGACCCCGAGGAAGAGGAGGTTGCAGAAATGAGCAAGACATCTGTCAGAACAAGTGGGTAGGAAATAACCATAGTAAACAGAAACAAAAATGGTTGGCTCTTATAAAGAAAGTGTTGTGTGGGGATGTCAGAAGGTTGCAGGGAGGAGGTTTGATTTTAGACAGGCTAGGAGAGTGTGCAAGAAGAATGTTAGAGAGACGTGTGTACTGGGCTGAATCACAGAGACCAACAGATTAACATTCCCTGCATTTAATACACATCAACTTGTGACTTGGGTCTAGGAGAGATCTGTGTGCCTCAGCATGCCTGTGAGGGTCAGAGAACAAGTTGGGTATGGGTGGTCATTTCTTTCCTTCCACTGTGTGGGCCCTGGATATTAAACTCAGGTCATCATGTGTGCCGAGGCAGGCCAACTTACCAGCCCTGTGGGGATTTTTATTTGTCTCTCTGTTGTGTACATTCGTTCCATTTATTAGTTGTTTTAATAGTTATTCTATTTATTAGCTATTTATTGATATTCTTTTTTCTTTATGTCAGTATGGACTTGGAGAATTATGAATCCTCACTATTATTTTGATGTTCATAATATTCCAGATTTGGTCCTTGAACTGCTTCAGGTTGGCATCCATGTCATTCTGACGTGTTATATGAGCAATTCTTTCTGAGGCAAAAAAGATATTTAAGGCTTCACTTTTTGTTTTCCATACAGTGATTAGGCTTTTCTTCAAGAAACCTTCGTCTTAATATTTTTATCTATCTACTCATCCGGGTACCTGTCAAATCAATCTGCCTACAATTCCAGTCTGCACCCACAAATATCTTCCCCCAAGTGAGGAATCTGCTATAGTCACCCTTAGATGTCTACACCTTAGATGTCACAGAAGGTGTTTTCAGAATTGCTAGGACACACCACTACATAGAAGAGGCCTAACACCTGGGGTTGAACAGTTGGCATGCAGTGACTTGTGGGTGTTACCTGGGGTTGAACAGTTGCATGCAGTGACTTGTGGGTGTTAAGGATGCAACATGAGGAATTTGTTTGTTTACCTCTGCTGAGGGCAAGGACCCAGGACCCTGGGTTGCTAGAAATGCACTGTCACTGAGAACCTACACTTCATTGAAATACAGAACTGAGTGAGTCCTGTAGACCATCACACTAGAAGATTTCTTCATGTTCTTTCTCAGTCAGACCCATCTCACGTCCTCCCAGAAGCAATCAATGTTCTAATTTCTGTCACCTCATATTAGTTTTACCTGTTCTTGATACCTTAAATAAATGGGATTGTATAATATGTCTTTCTTTATGCCTGTCGTCTGTTATTTTAAAAAAAGAAAATTCTCTTAGTGGCGGTGGAGATAGACCTCCAGGTCTCACACATGCTGGGCATGTACTCTACCACTAAGCCACATCCCCAGGTGTTTTTGTAGCTAAGATCCTGCTAAATTGCTTAAGTTGGCCTTGAATTCTCTTTCTCCTTGAGATTGCTTGGAGTCACTGAGAGTACAGACCTCAGCCATTATACCTGTATTTGAGATCTGTTGTATGTGTATTTGATTTTCATTGCTAGGTCGCATCTATAACCACATCAGAATGTACCTGTTTTATAATCTAAATTGAGAATAAAAACATTATAGAAACCTATGTGACACAGGAACCCTAAGTATTCTCAAGGGGGATATCTTTGGACGTTTTGTTTGTGTAGTAGTTTGGTGGTGTGTCCCTGCTTCTTACATCCTGGGCAGAGCCTATACAAGGGCAGAGAGCATCTCTGGTGATAGGTTAATGCTCCCTTCCTCTTGACAGAAAGATGATGACATAGAAGAAGGAGACCTTCCAGAACACAAGAGACCCTCGGCACCTATCGACTTCTCAAAGCTAGACCCAGGGAAACCTGAGAGCATCTTGAAAATGACAAAGAAAGGGAAGACTCTGATGATGTTTGTCACCATCTCAGGGAACCCCACTGAGAAGGAGACAGAGGAAATCACCAGCCTGTGGCAGGGTAGCCTGTTCAATGCCAACTATGATGTTCAGAGGTAAAGACCCCAAGCTATGCTAGGTCATTTTTGTGGGAACTAGGGGTTCATATTTGATTTTCTTTTTTTAAAGATAGAGTTTTTAACTGTAGCTCTGGCCATTTAGTTTAGCTGGTCTCACTCTTCACACTTAAAAATATCTTCTTTTTTAGCACTGGGATTCCAGCTTTGTGCCACCTCACCTGGATGTGTGCTGAGGTTTTTCTGGGGCTGAAGCAGGGTGGTTTTTTTGGTAGTCTTCCCAAGGGCCTTGGACCTTTCCTGTATATGAGTTCTTTTATTTAATTTTCTTTCTTGAAACATTGGTTTGTTTGTTTATTGACCAAAATCAGTACTTGGAAATTTGGTTTGTCTTTGTTTCTTTAACTTCTGCTTCATCAGAATAAACATTGTATTACTTAGTCTCTTTGAAGGATGAATGAGTTACAGTTCCACAGTTCATGGTGTAGCTGTGTTGACACAAGTTGTTACAGGCGGTTAATAACTAATGTGAACAAGTCTGTTTTCAAAAACCATATGATCTTAAATTTTGAAATCTTGAAATGTGAAAGATTTTACTTTATATATATATTTTATACAGTATATATATATATATATTTTTTTTTTTTGGTTTTTCGAGACAGGGTTTTTCCGTGTAGTCCTGGCTATCCTGGAACTCACTCTGTAGACCAGGCTAGCCTCGAACTCAGAAATCCGCCTGCCTCTGCCTCCCAAGTGCTGGGATTAAAGGCGTGCGCCACCACCGCCCGGCCAGTATATTTTTAATCATATTCACCACCCTATACCTCCCTCCTCCTTTCCACCCTCATCTCCCTAACCACCCAACTGAGGTTTGTTTTTTATAGAGCCTACTTTTTCTGTTTAACAATAGTTCCAAAATTCCAAGTCTTCAGATATCTTAATTGAGGAAGTAAGGAAGTGATAAGAAAGAACAGAAGGAGTTGCTAAGAATGCACAGGGCAGCATCATGCCTTCTGTAACTTCATCAGATATCTTGGTGATGACTGCTCTCTGATGGTCTGCTGCTGAAGAGAACAGATGTGGCGTGTTCAGGAACACAGCCTCATGCCTTCTGTAACTTCATCAGATATCTTGGTGCTGTCTGATGGAGAGAACAGATGTGGTGTGCTCAGGAACAGAGCGTCATGCCTTCTGGGCATGCCTTTATGTGTCACCCAGACCCATGCTGTTGCTTTCTTCTTCCTGGGCACTAATGTATGGGGCTATGCTAAGCCGCTTGTTTCTAACCCTGGTGGTTGGGATTTCTGTCTGCTTCCCAGGTATCTTTGTGGGCCCCTGAGGAGGAGTCTTATAGGACTTGCTTCATGCTAGTGGCTTTTAGCCTTCTTATCAAAAGCAGTTTGTCCAACAAAACCAGTTTGAGACTTCAGAACATAAAAAAGTGGCCAAGCATGGTGAGTGGCATATGCCTGTAATTTCAGCACTTGGGAAATGAAGTCAGGAGGATATGAAGTTCAAGATCATCCTCATATGAAATCATACTGAGCTTTGTGAGAACATTTATCAGGAAACAAATAGACAAACAAAAACCATAAAACATAGATGGAAGTGACATTTCAGAATGTTAAAGATAAAAATGGGAATTTCTCCCCTCTGCAGCATACCTGTGTCCCTTGCAGCTCCCTAAGGAGTTTGCCTTTTATAATCTCTTCACAGCATCATTTATGTATGCTTCAGGACCATCAAGCATCTGCTGCTTCTGTCTTGATCTAAGCAGGATGCTAGTTTAGAGCTCAGTGAACATTAAAGTCACCAGCCACTTGGCCCAAGGCAGAACAGTGTAGTGTTCTGCATTTAGATGGACTTGAAATAGAGGCACCCCAGCCTTCTCTGACTCCAGGCACCTACCTCACTTATGTTGCTAACTGATGGCTTCTCCATCTAGGTTCATCGTGGGAAACGACCGTGCTATCTTCATGCTCCGGGATGGGAGCTATGCCTGGGAGATCAAGGACTTTTTGGTCAATCAAGACAGGTGTGCTGAAGTCACTCTAGAGGGACAGATGTACCCTGGCAAAGGGGGAGGAAGCAAGGAAAAAAACAAAACAAAGCCAGAGAAGGGTAAAAAGAAGGAGGGAGATCCCAAACCACGGGCTTCCAAGGAAGACAATCGAGCTGGGAGCAGAAGAGAAGACCTCTAGCAGGTGGCAAGCTTCCCGTTGGGTAGGCAGGACCAGATAGCCCCTTGCAGACTGTTGGGGCAGATGGGTGCAGGAAACTGCATAACAGATGACATTCTCATGTCCTTTAGAAAGAGTCTGTGTGTGACCCTCTGGTCAGTATCACAGTTACTGTATAAAAGGCTTCACATGTGGAGGCAGGATTTGTGATTGGTAGTGGACTGGCAAGTCATGCTTCCTGTGGCATCACCTGACTTGGAAACTTGATAGATGTTTTGTACCTCTTACATCTTGTGTGTCCTTGACACCCGCAGAGTACCACTCCCTCTTCACCTGTTGTGTCTGTGTGTTACAAGCTCAAGTCAAACTAGCCTTGAGAACCTTTGGCTTGACTGAAGCAGGCATTGATTGTTCAGTGAGTGAAGATACGTGTGCTGCTGTATGGGCAGTGCTGCACGCCCAGCATCTGGACAGCCAACTATGCAAAACGTGCAGATTCACGAGGCAGTGCCATCCAGAAGTCCTAAGGAGTCATTTCACATGGCTCACGTCCTCGTCAGTTCAGGGGACCCTTTATCTCCCAGTCTGCCTGTGGTTGTAGAGGGAGTGCTGTTGTGCCTCATGTGAGGAAGGAAGGGAGCTGCAGCTGAGGGCTCATGGTCTGCATAGTCCAACAACTATAAAGTTGGTGAGAGGGACCAGCAGAGTCTTCCGTAGGAGTGGACTCTCATCTACAGTATTTCTAAGTGGTTTTCTTTGGAAAAGTGCCTAAACTTGTGCTTCTGTATGGCACTCTCATGATGTGCTACTGTTCACATCTGGTTTTGCTGTTCATAAGTTGAAGCTTATCTAAAAGAACATTTCTATGAGGATGCCATTTTTAAGAACTTACATTCTTTAAACCTCAGTTGTGGTTTTAAATTCAAAATAGTACATGCATACATACCCGGCTAGGAAGTGTCACTGTTAGAGTGTCACAGTGTGAATAATTGCCCTGCCCTGCTGCCAGTACTTTGTCCCAGTGAAGCTACTGTTGATCGTTGGTTTTTCAAAAATAAAGTATGTTTACCGGCTTCCAGTGATGGGTATATTCTGTCCTCAGGTTGATTTCCATTCATGTTTCTCTTAGTGAGCCACACGTCCCTCCCCTGCTCAGGGTGTCCTGGACACAACCTTCTGAGCCTCCTCAGAGAGAAGCTTTTCTTGGTCCTCACACGTTGTGACTTTAGGTGATCTCCTATCCTGTTTGAGGGTGCTGCCAATCCAGGAGAAGCTGGGACAGGGCACCCATCCTTTTGGTATCTGTGGGCCCAGTAGATCTGAAACAAGCCCAGTTCCTGGGGGGGTTTCTGTTTTCACCTGGGGCAGTTGATTGGCTACTGTCATGTCTAGCCATGGTGCTCTTGTCTCGTGGCTGCTGTTTCCTTCTAGAAGCCTTCTTGTTACTGACACAGGACTGTCATGACTCTCAGTGTGGTGTGCAGCCACTTCACCACAGTTCATGCATCATCTGTGATGTAGTTGGCACTAGTGGGTGCCAAGGACAGTGCAGACATGGCAGGAATGACAAATGGCCTGCAGTGTTAAACGGTAACTGGGGAGAATGGAGGAAATGTGGAATGCAGGGAGCAGAATGGACAGAATCTTTGCCTTGTTGGGACGGTCAGGGGCCATTCCCTTTACACGGGCCCTGAGGCTGGCTAGAGGTAGTAGAGAGGAGGTTCCAAGAAGGCCACGAGGAGTCTGGCCTGGAGAGTGCAGACTCCAGGCGACTGTTGGAAGTTTGAGTGCCTGAGAGGTTTTCCATAGTACTGACAGACAGAAGAGCTTCTCAGGGCTTAGACTTTTAGTCTCCCTGGTTTACAGGCAGGGAGGCTTGAAGCAGCCTTCGGTTCATGCTTCCTGCTGTTGCTGATTTCTGGCTGTGTTTCTGAGCTGTGATGAAAAGATTTTCCTCTCCAAACACTTACTTGCTACTAGAAACTAAATTAGCACATGAAGACTCCTTTTATTACAAGTCAAGGGTTTGAAATCTAAGTGAATCTAATTATCTTCCCTGATTTTTAACAGTACCTAAACTGCCTAGTATTCTCATATTCCTTCAAGTTATTGGGTTCAAGTTTCTAAAGCACAAGAAGCCAGGAGGCCTACTGGTGCTTTTATGGGTCAAATCAAGTAGAATTAAAATATATTGAAGTCATTTTTACCCAAACTACAGATTCCTTAAGGTGGTACCAAGGAGGAAAAACAGGTATGGTGCTATATACCTATAATCCGAGTGTTTAGGAAGGAGAAGTGGGAAGATCAGGGGTTTAGTTTACAGCCAGCCAGGCCAGGTTACGTAGTTTCAGGGTAGCCTCAGCTACATCTGAAACTCACTCTTTCTCCCCACCCCCACCTCCCCAAACCCCACAAAACAAAAAGGACTAAATGCAAAAGAAATTAGTCACAATTCTTAGTGTACAGTCTTAAGAGGAGTTCTCTCAGCCTCCTACATAAAATTACCCGCAGGAAAGACTCGGGCTAACACTGCCATCATTGCGAATTCTCGTGTTCTTAGGAGAACTGGCCCCTGTTACAGCAACTGCAGGGGCATCTGGATAGTACAACTGCTTCAGTCTAGTGTTCCCTGCTCCTTGGCCAGCCATCTGTCCATGGGGAGAGCCACCTCAGTGATTCAGGAAGTTCCTATACTGGAAATTGATACTGGCATTGAGTCAGTTATTAATGTTTCTGAACAGAACCCATGCAAGTCCTCTCCATGAATTCCTAGGGAATTTCAAAGGACATCTAAAAAATTTGTGGGGGGGGGGTTGTTGAGTGTTTGGGATGTGTCTGCTGGTGTTTCTGAAAGATGCTCCAAGGTAGCCCCCCCCCAAATTATATATCCCTAAAAGTGTTTTAACATCCAAACTTACCTGTAAGCCCAACACCGAGGAAGCAGAAGCAAGATCAGAAGTTGCAGATCAGATAGTATTACAGGAGACACTCAAAATGAGACGAAATAAGCAAAACACTACCACTAACAACAGCAGAAATAACCAATGACCTAGGCCAACCTCTGGATGTTAGTTTTTCTTTTGGCTTGGAACTCCCTAGGAAGACCAGGCTAGCCACACTGGAGAGCCACCTGCCTCTCTGCCTCTGTCTCCTGAGTATTGGGATTAAAACGAAGCCCACCTTACCTTGCCCTCTGGTGTCTCTCTCTCTCTCTCTCTCTCTCTCTCTCTCTCTCTCTCTCTCTCTTTCTCTCTCTCTCTCTCTCTCTCTCTCTTTCTTTTTGGTTTTTTTCAAGACAGGGTTTCTCTTTGTAGCCCTGGCTGTCCTGGAACTCACTCTGTAGACCAGGCTGGCCTCAAACTCTGAAATCTGCTGCCTCTGCCTCCCAAGTGCTGGGATTGAAGTCGTGCGCCACCACTGCCCGGCGGACATTTTCATATACAATATTTTAGTGAACTTTTTACATTTGAAGGGTAAGTTGTTTGCAGTATGATTGTTAAAATTTAACATTTGGTATGTATTACTAAGTAGCTGCTCCTTATGGTTCTGTCATAGGAGGCTTCCCAACAGTAGATCTCTGATCCCTGACAGCCTTGGCCATCCATGGAGCATTTTGAACAAGTTAAAAACAAAGCCTCTTTATATTAATATATATATATATAATACATATGTTATATATATATATAATTTATCTTTAAATTCTATGTGTATGAGTGTTTTGCCTGCATATATGTCTGCAGTGCTAGATGAGGCCAGAAGGCATCAGATCCCCCTAGAACAATGCTTCTCAATATATAGGTCACGCCCCCTTTGGGTGGGTTGACAAGTGTCTTAGACCATACAAAACACAGCTATTTACAATTCATAACAGCAGCAAAATTACAGTTATAAAGTAGCAATGAAAATAATGTTATGCTTGGGGGTCACCACAACATGAGGAACTGTGTTAAAAGGTCACAGCACTAGGAAGGTTGAGAGCCACTGCCTTAGAACCAGAGTTATAAACTGTTGTCAACTATCATGTTGGATGTTGGAAATTGGATCGAGGTCCTCTACAGGAGCAGCCACACAAAGCCTGGCCAGTCTGCAGATTCATAAGCCATGTTTTCAGTGAATTTGTCTTGTCTGTCTAGTGGGCTAAGAAATTTGTATGACATCTTTAGACTATCAACCACAAGATGTGTCAGCCTTATTAATTAGATAAGTATGTTTTAGGACTGCCTTCATCCTTGAGCTCTCTGGTTTATGACAAGTCTCTTGTAGTTTTTAGTGTTTTTATTGGTTTTGTCTGTATGTATGCACACACGTGCACTCTGGAGAAGTGTGAATTAGCCACTTGTCAAGATCAACATTGACCAAGCCAGTTCAGTCAGTTAACTGGGTCTCAAGGGAGCAAGGATTAAAAAGAAAAAGACAATTAGATAAAACTATAACATGACTCCAGCCAGTGCTGAGGCTGAAGTGGGTTTATTTTTTTCCCAGTCTTGCTTTTATACCATTTTAAGTACATGCAAATAATAAGGTCAGTTCTATGTTAAAGAACAAACGAGGCAATAAACACAAATAGTCAAGGAACAAATAAGGCAATAAACAAAGTCTTATGATGACTGTTTCTAGGGGCTTATCAGGATGACCAAGATATAAAAGGATTGGCACATTTTGAGTTTGCCTTGAACTTTGTATTAGCCCAAATGTAAACATTCTTTTTTTTTTTTTTGGTTTTTCGAGACAGGGTTTCTCTGTGTAGCCCGGGCTGTCCTGGAACTCACTCTGTAGACCAGGCTGGCCTTGAACTCAGAAATCCACCTGCCTCTGCCTCCCAAGTGCTGGGATTAAAGGCGTGCGCCACCACCACCACCACCGCCCGGCCAAATGTAAACATTCTTATCTGAGCTTACTTCTCTGTCCTAGCCCAAAGTCAAATTTCTGCCTGAGCTTACTTCTCCTGACCCAGTGTCAAATTTCTGCTAAGTTTCTAGAAGTGGCCCCAAAAGCTCTCCACAGAACATACACTTGTTAGGATTTTAATGCTGAGGCAAAATGCCAGAGAAAACCAGTTTAAAGGGATGTTAATGTTGCCTCACAGTTTTTAATCTATGGTTGCTTTGATCAGTGATCCTGGGCCTATGGTGAGGCAGATTGGAGACAGAGGAAAGGTGGGGATTCAGAACTACACTTCACAGGTGCCTCAGTGACAGCCCCCTGCCAGAGCTGCCTCCTGGTGACACTCAGCTAAGACACTGTAGGCTCTGCATGAGGTTTCTCTATACACAGTGGCTATAGGGCAGACACTTATTAACGTGTCAAATGCCATTGATGAAGGTAGGCCCTCATGGTCCATCACCTATCAAAAGCCTGTCTGCTGGGACTAAATCCTTAACACCTGAGCCTTCATAGAACACTCTGCTATTCACATCTTAACAGAAGGAGTTTGTGAGTGTCTTCCTGACTCTCCTGTTGCTGTTTAACACTGGGGGAGGGGGTGTTCTATGAGACAGCTCAGTGAGTGAAGTGCTTACTGTGCCAGCCCAGTGGCCTGTGTTGGATCCCCAGAGCACACATACAATGAAAGCAGAGAAAGGATTCCTAGCGTCAGCCTCTGATTTCCGAACACACCACAGCGTGTGTGCACTGCCTTGCCATCGCACACAGTCAGTTAATAAAGCTCATTTAAAAATTCTTCCTGTGTACACGCATGAGGCGTATAAGACTGGTCACCCTCTGTGAGCATTATGTCAGCCTTTAAGTTCATAACCATGTGGGGCATGTGACTTCTTTAGCATTCACCCTTTGGAGGTCTCTGAGGCTACCCTATTTGTTATCCCATGGAAGAAAGTGGTATTTCTACTAGGTTCTAGGAAGTTTTTCACTTTTACCAGTTTTGTGCATTTGTTGGTGCAGCATACGTGTAGGCATGCAAGTGCCACAGGTCCTATGTGGAGGTCAGGGAACAGACAACCTGCTAGAATTGGTTCCCTCTTATTGTAGGTTCCAGGGATTGAACTCAGGCTTGGCTGCAAATGCTTTACACAGTGAGGCCTCTTGCCAGCCCAGATTCTTTCTATTATCAACATTCTG